TGTGTGTGTGTATGTGTGTGTGTGTGTGTGTGTGTGTGTGTGTGTGTGTGTGTATGTACATGTGTCTAGGTGTCTGCAGAGACCAGAAGAGGGAGGTGGATCCCACGGAGCTAGAGCTACAGGCAGTTTTGAACTGCCCAGCGTGGGTGCTGGGAACCAAACCCAGGCTTTCTGGAAGAGCGACAACCATTCTCAACTGCTGAGCCCTCTCTCCAGGTCACCACGTCCCACTTTCTTTATTTTAATCAGGGTCTCAGGTACAACGCTCAAGGTAGCGTGACCTTGAACTTGTGATCCTCTTGCCTCTGCTTCCCGAGTTCTAAGATTACGGGTTCCCGTCACTGTGCCTGATCTGTTCTTATTTCTGTTCTGAGGATCGAACCCACAGCCTTGAGCATGCTAGGCAAGCACCCCACCACGGAGCCATGTCCCCAGCCAGTAGTTTTTGATACAGTTCTCATTATATAGCCCAGGATGGCTCTGAACTCCAATCCTCCTGCCTCTGCTTCCCTAGTGCTGGGGCAACAGGTCTTTGCCTCCATGCCTGGAAAACTGAACTCTTGGTAACTAAGAGTGGACAGGTAACTGATACAAGCGGTTCTGTGAACTGGCCCCGGGGAGGGTGGCTTCGGGGAACTATCTTCTGATGGACACAGCACATTGTTCTGGTCCTCCAGTGTCTGGTACACAGTAGACATAGCACAAAAGCTGCTGCTCCCATGTCTTATTGTCAGCGCTCGTGTGCTGTTAGCTGGGGAAATTAAGGTCCTTTTCATGCTATAATCTAAAATCATTAATGAGGAGAGAGACTTGCCCTTCCTCTCCTACACTGAACATTCTCCTTCTCAGCCTACACAAATCATATTATTACTTCTAAACACACTTCCTCCAGGAAGCCTTCCAAGCCTTGCAGAAAGTCAGGCCCTCCCTGAGCTCTGTATTTCACAGGAACATTGAATTTGCTTGTTCTGTTCTCCTATGTGGTGGAGCCATAGAGCCCTTGAGCCTAGGAGCAGGGTCTTGCCTGGGCTCCTGATGTCTAACTGAGGGTCTGGCGGGCAGGGACCGCTCCCTGAGAAATGGGAGGAAGAGGTCTGATCCTGAGTCTGACTGGCCACCAACTCACTCACTCACTCAGTCAGCTCAGCCTCTTAGTTCTCTCCATTCCCCTTCTAGGACAGGAGACACAGTTAGGTCAACATTTCCCAAAGGGTGGTGTTGGGAATCAGCCGCAGCTCAAAGGCTTTCCTTGAAGAGAGAGGACTGTGTGGGGGTGTGGGGTGGGGGTTATTTTACAGATCTGCTTTGAAGCCTCAGAGCCTCTCTGGACCTGCCACTGGCCCACTTGTCCCGTGGCATCACAGGAGCTAACATGGGACGTGGGGGTTTCCACACTGGTTTGCCTGGAGAACTCTATGCAGTGAAGCTTTTCTGAGGGGATTGGGTGCCAAAGAACATACTTTGAAAAGCACTGGGTTATCCCCCTGTCTCAGAGCCCAGGGGGTTAACTGAGTCAGACACAGCTCTTCCATCCCCCACCCCCCCACCCCCCCCACCCCCGCACCCCCTCTACCGAGAAGCTCAGCTAGTGGGGAGCAGGAATGGTGGGAGCTGGGCAGGAAGTAGCAGTTCTTTGAGGGGAGGGGTGGGGAGGGGAGGCTGGGTCCAGCAGGGAGAGAGCATCTCCCTCGATATAGCCATTTAAGGTGGAGTCTCAGAGGATGAGGCCGGGGAGCTGGGTCCTGGTGCAGAGGGGAAAGTGGCTGGCCCCACAAAGTGTTCCAAATCGTTATGTAAGCAAAGGTACATGGAAGCCAAGCTCAGGTGGGCAAAACCTCACATGGGTCTATTGGAGTTAGTATGAAGGAATCTTGGAAATAGCGATGGGGTGAACATTCCAAGCTTGACCAGGGAGGACAGTGAACACCAGGCCGAGCCCAGGGCTCCTCTGAATCTGCAGATGTGTGACACTGCAGGGGGCTATGCTGGGTGATCTTAGGAAAAAGTGATCTGGCAGCCGTTAAGTGGAGTCTGAAAAGGAACTCAAGTAGAGAGTTCTGTCGAGGAGAGGAGCAGAGAGGACCAGTCAGGGTTTCCTGAACCCAAACAGACCTATGGTGGATGGGGAAGAGGACGGAGGACTGAGAGATCTCCAGCTGCTACCATGTGCCCACATCGGACATGGAGCACTAGAGTGGGCTGGAGCTAGGGTCCCCTCCTGTGGAATTTATAGGCTAGTGAGGGTGGCAGGTGAAACTTAGGAACCCACGAATAACTGCAAACCTTGAATGTTGATAAAGCAAATTTTAGGATGCTAGTCAGCCTAGAACAAGGGTAACCTGGGGAAGTCAGGGCTGGCTTCTTGCAGGAAGTGGCACTGTATGTCAGACTGGAGGCTGAGAAGGATTTCATTAGATAAAGATGAGCTGCCTACATCCAGGGGCTGTAAAGCCAGAGTGGATAGCTTGTGAAATGAACCCTGGAGAGAGGCCAGCTGAGAGAGAAAACCTCAGAGAATCCCACCACTCAGCAGGAGGCCAAGAAGCAGCCTGAGAGATGGTAGAAAATTTGGTGTTTTCCAATCCACTTCTCCACCCCACCTGCCCCCACTGCTCCAAGCCCCTGAGCCGAAAGAGCCTGCTGACCTTGAATGAAATCCCAGATGTTGCACTCTTGTCCCGAGAGGCAGACCACCGTGCAGTTGGGGGCCAGCCCCCCATACTCAGCCCGGTCCTCGAGTCTCTGCCACCGGACCTTCAGGACGAACCAAAAGTACTGGATGCTGAAGAAGGTTGGGACCCAGTTGTCGGGGGAGAATCGGGGATTCCTGGCCATCCCGGTCTTTTGGCCCATGGCCAGGATGTTCCGCTTGACTCTCTCCGGGAACAGTATCATTAGCACCTTGCCCACAGCCACCTCCACGGCTACCTGCAAGAAGATCCCTAGCCGCTTCAGCCATAGCCCTAGCCAGGGCAGCCCCATCTCAGCAAGGGGTAGAACTGACTCGGAGGCGGATGTAGGCGGATGGACAGACAGAGAGGCCCCAGCCAGACAACACTGGGCGGAGCTGGACAAAGGTGCAGGACAAGAGGGCTGTGCCAGACAGAACAGCAGGTGTTTGCCTTGCAGTCAATTGGATGGAAAATTCCAAACCACTGGCACAGAGGTCTCTTTAAGTTAATATCTTCCCAGGTTCTTTGTTACTTTTTGAGAGATGCTTGGTTTCCCTCTGGGTGATTTTTTTTTTTTTTTTGACAAACACTTGAAAAGATTACATTGAAAGGGACCTTGTTAAATCATAATGAATTCCACTATTTTGTACAATTAATATTGTACAATAGAAAATAATACATTTTTTAAATAACAAAAAAGGGACCCTGTTAAAGATCTCTTGCTGCTGTGGTGGCGCATGCCTTTAATCCCAGCACTCAGGAGGCAGAGGCAGGTGGATCTCTGTGAGTTCGAGGCCAGCCTGGTCTACAGTACAAGTATTAGGACAACAAGGGATACATAGAGAAACCTTGTCTCAAAACAAACAAACAAACAAACAAAAAGTTGAAAATGCATTTAATGCAGTCAATCTATCAAGCACAATAGTAGTATATCACTTAAAATTAAATGACGCTTATATACGTGTGTGTGTGTGTGTGTGTGTGTGTGTGTGTATGGCAGGGGCCATGAATGCTGTAGCACATATGTAGAGATTAGAGGAGAATTTTGGTAGTCAGTTCTCGCCTACCCTGTGGGTCCTAGGGATTGACCTCAGGTCACTGGGCTACGCGGCAAATACCTTTACCCACGTACATCTTGGCACCACAGTAAAGTTAAAACCCCGAAGTGGAGCATTAAAAGTTCAGCAGTGTCTTTACTCTGGGATAAGGTACCGATCCCAGCTTTTGATTTTTATTTGTGGTGCTGGTGACTGAGCTGAGGATCTCGTGCATCCTAGGTCAGTTCCACCACTTGAGCTACGCCCACAGCCCTGTCTTCTGCCCCTGCTGAAGTCAGGTGTCCATTCTCTTGTTGAGTCTTAAGAGTTCTTGGAATATTTTACATAAGATTCTTTTTCAGAAATGTCTTGCAAATGCCTTTTCCCAGTCTAGGCTTGTCTTCTCGTTCTCTTGATAATTGTTTCTTCCTTCCTTCCTTCCTTCCTTCCTTCCTTCCTTCCTTCCTTCCTTCCTTCCTTCCTTCCTTCTTTCCTTCCTTTCTTCCTTCTCTCCCTCCCTCCCTCCCTCCTTTCTTTCTTTCTTGGATAATTGTTTTTCATTTGTTTGTGTTTTTGAGACAAAGTCTCCCTATGGAGCCTAGGCTGGCCTCTCTACCCTTGCTTCCCAAGTGCTGGCATTATAGGGGTGTGCACCATACCTAGAAATTACTGTATCTTTATAGTGAATCTTAAAGTTGAATAACGTTAATCCTCTGATTTTGTTCTCCTTAATTATTATGATGACTATTTGGAGATCTTTTTCTGCTCCACATAAAGTCTAGAATCAATTTGTGGATACTGTATCAGCAACATAACTTCTTGGATGTAGCTCTAAGGTGTATTGAATCTGTAGGTCAACCTGAGAAGAATGAAAAATCTTGGCAGCTGGGTCTTCCTGTCTCTGAAGATGGAAGACACACTGATTTCTCAGCTCTTTGATATCTTTTGGCAGAGTTTTGTAGATCTTGTTCACATGTCTTTAGGTTTATTCTAAGTTATTTTATTTTTTGGGTGCTAATATAAATGATATTGTGCTTTTAATTTCATTACTCAGCTATTTGCTGATTTTAATTGTCAATTGAGAGAATCTAGGCTCACCTGGG